AAACATCGCAACGAAAAATGACAAAATTAATAAGTGGTATCTGGATAACTGCTGCGAACAATACATGGTCGCCTTTGACAGGTTCATCCTCAGCTGCAAAGGACTTGTCAACGACGTGGATATCACCGTCGCCAACAACCACACGATATTGGCGACAAGCCGGAGACAAATCCAGCTTGAGTCGAAGGACACGAACTTCTCCATTCACATTAGCGATGTAGTAGTGGTGCCGAGTCTTCGCTTCAATCCTCTCTCGGCCGCCCAGCTAATGAAATGTGGTATCCGGCTGCATTCACTAGAGATAGAATTTCATTTAATCTAAAAGGGAAAACTCATTAGAAACGCGAAATGTGAAAACAGTGTATTCGTGCTCAATTTCAACTTACCTCGGAACATGGGCGACAAAGACCGCATTCTTGTTCTTGACCCTTCAGCACATCCTTCACCACCTGCTTGGACTCATCCCTTGGAGACAGACTTGAAACGACCCGGCCCACATGGACTGTGCCGTGCACTCGCCAATCCTGTCGCTTCAACTTCAAACCCTACAAGCACAAGACCACAAGTAGTTGAAGAAGTTACCTCCGTAGGAGGATGGGCGCAAGCAATTTGGCTAAGTGTCCATCAACCTACATGCTGGGACGTGGCATCCAGCTAGGACGCAACAGACGTTGGATGGGAAACATGAGGAACAGACTGAGGACCTCCGCCCGTACGCGTGGATGAAGGCAAAGAAGGCTAAGGCGGCACCGCTCCTACAAGCACAAAAGAACAGGAACCAAAGGTTATTGAAGGGATGCAATAGGAAATCATCGTCAACGTGTCTGAGCATGTGACAACTACCTGGTGCTGAAAAAGAACTTCTACCAGAATTCGGACCTCACCTCATCCATGTTACAATCAACAGAAGCAGCTTCTACCGCCTCAACACAAGGGGAGCACCAATCAGAGATATCGCCGAAGAAGGTATCGTCGCACAACTCGAAGAAGGTGGTGGCCCTGATAAGACTCCGACTCTGTACCAGGGCCCGCAGCTGCTCCCCATGACAATTGACATCGGAAACGTCGATGAATCCAAAGGTGTGTACTGAGGAACAAGGCTCGAAAATCTTCACGTCGCAGCCATACAAGTGCTTGTGCCTAATGAACATGCAGTCGAAACAACAACACCAACGGCATCGGGAATATTAGCTCGGGAAAAGCAACTATATGCGCGTACAGTGGTATCGTGCTGAAGCAGATGTCTGACATCAACGCCTTGGACACCCTCCATCAAGGCACTCAACAATTCGAGTAACACCAGAGTGTTCGCGGAAGACGCGCTAATTCTGCCCAACGGAAGTAAGCTACAGCCATGAAAGGATATACCCACCTGCACTGTCTGCCCGATAGCAGCACTAGCGCACAAACCCTTTCCAGAGAAAGTCCCTTGTCTCGAATGATTTGAGGCGTTGGACAAGGTATATAGCGACTTTCTGTGTCTCACCGCTTGCGGACTTAAAGGAGAGTACTACACCATAACGTTCATCGATGTGGCCACGTGGTTCGTCTGGGCCGCTTACGTATCCAGTCATGAGCTCGCCTTTGAGTGCTTCTATCTGTGGCTGATTATGGCGTAGACACTATACGAGGGGAAGAAACTGAAGGCCTTTTAAACGGACGGAGTAGCAAATTATGTCAACGAAAGGTTCTGAAAGTTTTGCGCGGAGGAGAGAAAGAGGATGATTTCGTTGCCCTACGCTCACAAGCAGCAGAGATTGGCTTGGCCGAACGAGCCAATAGGAGTCTCGCAACAATTATGAGGGCCCTCGCGAAGCATTCGGATGTGCAAACCGCATATTGGCCCTACGTGATGGCCCATTATGTGCAAGTACAGAACATCCTTTCTTCAAAAACCCTGCCCGACAACAACTCACCTTTCAAGGAGTGGACCGGAGACAACCCTGACACGCAAATGCTAGGGGTCTTCGGCTGCATGTATACAGTACCGGCCCCACACTGCCTAAATAGGAAAATTTGAAGATTGAGCCCGATGGGGGCATCCACCTCGCCATCGAGCATGAGACTATACATGGACCATCCTCAACTTTGCCACCCACCAGGTCACGCGTTCATGTGACTGCACCTTCTACGAAAAGATGACACTGCCATTATCCCGCCAGCACCACACTACACAGTAAGCACCAAACAACTTTTTCCACGGGGAGCATAGTTTTGCAAACGATCGGGACGAAGTTGATGTGGCAGAGCCAGCAGCAGAAAATTCAATCAGAGGAGAGGCACTCCAACATTCATCTTCACCGTCACTGACCCAAATGAACCTGTACAAGCACAACGCAATTACGAAATTGATGAAATGCACTCACCTATGGAAAAATACCAAAACTAGAACGACTCTCGCGACACCATTCGCGACATCCCTGGTGACGACGACAACGTGGTCGAAGTGACCAATACTGCTGACTCCAATCTCACTGAGCTATGCATACTCGGACTTGCCATTGCCATTTGTGGTAACCAGCAGCTTGCCGAGCCTACAACTGTTCGTCAAGCCCTGTAGGGCCCCAACACTGAGAAGTGGAGAGAAGCCATGACCACCGAAGTAACTGCACTCAAACGGCGTGACACGTGGAAGATGATACTGCGAGCATTGGCTAAGGGGAGAAAAAATCTCAACGCGAAATGTGTGTGTTCGTATCAAAACACTTGCGGACGGCTCAGTCGACAAGTACAAAGCGCACAGGGTTGTATGCAGCTTCAAGAAAACCCAGTTTGTCGACTACGATCACACCTTTACACTAGTTGGACGGCATACCTCCATACGCATTTTAATCTGCATCGCCATCGTGAAACAGCGCCACTTCGCAAAGTCGACGTCTCAAATGCGTTCTTATACGCAATATTTGACGCCATCATCTTCAACAAGCAACCTCACACCTTCGAAAAAGACGACTCTGTCGTTTGTCTTCTGCAGAAATCGCAGTACTGCATCGAGCAGGCACCGCGCCTGTAGCAACAGCACCTACACTCGGTTCTTATTGAACTCGGCTTCTAGCAGCTGCCGCATGACCAAGGCATGTACCGACTCGAGACCCGCGGGAACTTTATCCTACTCGTCGCCTACGTAGATAACCTGCTCTACCAGGGACAGCACGGAGCTGCTCGATCGCTTCGAGCGCGACATCAAAGGGAAGTTGGAGTTGACAGTGAATCACAACGTCACTCAGTTTCTAGGGTTCAACGTCCTGCAATCTGCGTACACCGCTCAGCTCTCGGCAGCTAAGTACATCGAAACGCTCGCGAAGAAATTCGGCATTGCTTCGATGACGAAGTGGAGCTGTCAACAAGGGCGCAGTCCAACAATATCGTCGTTGTCGAAGGTTTGGTCAACAAACCGGGACCGCGACCTTTAACTTGTCCCAACCTTGGCATGGCTCCAGAGCGATAAAGATATGCTTGCCCGCCGACGGCTGCCTGCAACACTATCTTCGACGATGCGCAAGCCAACGTCGGCCTCTCCGAGCTCGACCTTGACATGCACGCCGACCCTATGCAACATTATCGTGACCATGCTGGTCAAGGAGGCATTGGAGAGCTTGTAGGGCAAGGCGGTGAAAGCAGCGATGGACGAGGAGATACGGGGTCTTCTCGCCAACGGCACGTGGGAGCTTGTGGAGCGCCTGCGCAGAGTCAACGTCGTGAAGAACCACTGGGTGCTGACGACGAAGTACCATGTCTGCTACAAGGCCCGCCTGGTGTGAAAGGCTTTACGTGGGTTTACAACCTCACCACCCCCTTCCGATCGCCTTGCGATCTCACTACTGCAGGTTGTTTGCCTTCTCATCCCCTGATTCTTCCTGGTTTTCATACAATAGACCGGCACGCACCATTTCATTGCCTTCTTACATTACACCCATGAAACTTTAGGAGGCCCTCGCACCACGTGTTGCTGAAGTGGATTGCGGAGGCCTGGGAGCAAGTGCCACGATACTTCATCGTCAAGGCCTTCAAGACCTGTGTGATCTCGGACAAGCTCGATGGGACCGAGAATAAGTTGGTGTTGGCTCACATGCAGGCCAAGAGCACCATTGACGTGTCTGAGGACATCTTTTTGCGGGGGAGCACGTGGACAACACACGCCTTCTTGAGGAGGAGGAGGCTGCAGGTTCTGGCGGGGGGGGGGGGGGGGGGGGGGAGGAGGAGGAGCTGCAGGCCGGCGGCTTCAGGGAAGTCGGCGTGGCTACTGGTCTGGAGGTGTTGGCCCCCAACTACCGTGGGGCTGCAGCCCTGGCTGAGAACCTCATGGATCGGGCACGCGACTCCAGACAGTACGAGGCCTCTACTGCTAGTGCAGATAAAGAGGGCGTGACCAAGGGGGATTAGATAGGAACGGCGGTGCTACTCGTGTGTATCTTGAACCCTGCTAATGCTAGAACCCGTGTAGAAAACACCCCTTGTTTAGAAGACAACCATCGTTTATAAGACATACGCATAAACTCGTACACACACTTGGGTTTCTTATAACCAGGACAACCCTTTATAAGAATCTACCCTAATTCAAGACACCCCTGTTTACAATTCGACAATGTCTTATATCCGGGCGATGACGGGTATAAGTGTAAGAATATGTACAATCCTGAACTTCTATCCAGGCCCCATTACTGGTATCTCACGTATTCCTAATTAGTATAATTAATAAATAAGGATAAGATTAGCAACTAACCCACCGGTATGGTCGGAGAAGTATCAGCTTGCAGGCAGCGAGTGGTTGCAGCAAGCAGACTCGGTCAAGCTTTACTAAGAGCACAGCAGCAGTGGTGCTATCAGCGAGGGAGAGCCAGCAGTTTGTTAGTTCAGAGGCAAGATCGGAGAAAGTTTGGGGAGTCAACCAGTGGTTAGAGAGTGTTACGGCAGCATATGGCTGCCATGTTAGTGGCTGAAGGAGGGAATCAAGGGATGGCACATGAGGAGGAAGGATAATACTCTTGATTCTGCTGCCGCTACTGCTGCTGTTGCTGTTGTTGCTGTTGCCGTATTCTTTCCGCTTCATCCATGCTTGTATCCCCCTCGTCATCATCCTCATCATCATCGTAATCATCGTCGTCATCATCATCCTCGTCGTCGTCACCGTTCCCGTCATCCTCGTCATCGAAATCCTCGTCATCGTCGTCGTCGTCCAGGTCATCGTCGTCGTTATCCGAGAAATCGTCCCCGTCCGATCGGTGAGACGGGCTTCTCTCGTCGTCAGGTGGGTTGAGCATGCGGTTGATTTGTTGGCCTAGTGCCACCCAGCTGCAACGCGAATAATAGATCGTGGAAGGGGAAGGCATTGGGGTTGAGGTGAATAAGAAAGGGGAGGGGAACGATATGTGAGATGAGATATGTTGATGAAAATAAGGAAAATAAGCTTTTTTCAGTCAAGGCAGCATGAGTCTGCGGCTGATCTGCTGCCCAAGTGTCACTCACGTGAATACCAGCATACGTCAGCAACAGTGTCTGGGGAGGTAAAGAACAGCAGGGCAGCACTGACTGGTTGAAGAGCTGGCCGATGAAGGCGAGGCCGACCGCGAGTGCCATGACGAGCCCGAGAGTGCCAGCGAAGCTGGAAGGCATGTCCCAGTCGATGGCCATGGCCAGTGCACATGCGAACAGCACCACCTCCGCGCCCGAGCTCACCGCCTCCACCACCTGTAGGCCTCGCTCTGTGAACGGCTGTTGATGGGGGGCGGGAGAAACGGAGAAACCAGGAGATGAGTTGTGTACAATGTGGCTCAGATAACCCAAAAAGGAAAGCACTGCCTCTGCCCCCGAGCTCACTACCTCCACCACCTTAAGCCTCTCTTTGTGAAGGGCAGTTGGGGAGGGTGGAGAGGAGTGGAAAGGAGAGGAGGGGTGTACAGTGGTTGAGTTGTGTACAGTGTGGTTAATATATCAGCAAACAGAACAGCACGGCACCACCTCCGCGCCGAGCTCACTGCCTCCACTCCACCACCTGTAGCCCTCGCTCTGTGAAGGGCTGTTGGGCACGCGGAGGGGGTGGAGTGGAGGGGAGGGGAACATGCGGAATGGTGATTGGATGTTAGAGGAGAGTGGTTCACTTGAGCGTGCAGCAAATAGCAGCACCTGAAGGAAGAGTGTGCTTGTAGTGAGTACAGAACGCACCTGAAGGAAGAGTGTGCTTGTAGTGAGTACAGAACGCACCTGACGGAAGAGTGTGCTTGTAGTGAGTCCAGAACGTACCTGAAGGAAGAGTGTGCTTGTAGTGAGTACAGAACGCACCTGAAGGAAGAGTGTGCTTGTAGTGAGTCCAGAACGCACCTGAAGGAAGAGTGTGCTTGTAGTGAGTCCAGAACGCACCTGAAGGAAGAGTGTGCTTGTAGTGAGTCCAGAACGCACCTGAAGGAAGAGCAGGAAGAGCAGGTGCAGCAGTGCGAGGGTGAGCAGGCATGCCTGCTGCGCCACAGCATTGCCTGCCGGGCTCCATGCTCCCACCAGCGCTCCCACCAGCACCTGCACACACACAGAGACAGAGACACAGACACAGAGACAGAGACAGACAGACAGACAGACATGGACAGACACACACACAGACAGACACGCAGACAAATGGATACACATGGACAGACAGACACAAGGACACACACGGACAGACAGACAGACAGACAGACAGACAGACAAAGAGACGTAGGGAAGAGCGAAGGCTTCTTTAAATTGAGTGTGTGCATAGGATCAGGGCTGTGTGGGTAGGGCGTAAGAAAGTGTTAGGGAGTGTTAGTAAGGGAGTGTGCGGAGGGGAGTGTGTATAAGGGAGTGTGAACAAACAGTCACGTTAACTAAGAACAGCAGCCCATACTAGAAAGCCAGAGTGCCATATAGACAGCAACACTTACCTTTTAAGAAGTCCAGAGTGCCATAAACAGCAGCACTTACCATTTAAGAAGTCCAGAGTGCCATAAACAGCAACACTTACCATTTAAGAAGTCCAGCGTGCTATAAACAGCAACACTTACCATTTTAAGAAAGTCCAGAGTGCCATAAACAGCAGCACTTACCATTTAAGAAGTCCAGAGTGCCATAAACAGCAACACTTACCATTTTAAGAAAGTCCAGAGTGCCATAGGCAGCCCTCAGCCGGTCTTTGAGCACCCCCCAGGCGCCCACAGATCCCCACACTGGTATGGCACGACGCAAGGGTGAAAAAGGCGCGCGGGAGAGAGGCAGAGGGGGCATGAGAAACAAGGGACAACATCGGTAAGTGGCATGAGAAGCAGCCCTGAGTCAGTTTTTGAACACACCCCAGGCGCCCACAGATCCCCACACTGGCACAAGGCAGCGGTGAGACGGGAGGGGTGAGAGGGGCGTAGGGGATTAGTTACACAAATAAACCAACAATAAAATCCAAGTGATGTCAGAAGCAAGGTTGGTCCAAATGTAAAAGCGTGTTTCGAATGGAAAAAGGTGTTCAGTTGTTCAGGTGACAAGGGTGCTTGATATGTAAGGAATTACTCTAAATCAGAGAGACATTACATGAGCTGCAGCCTCGCCTATTCCCACGCCCTACCTGTAAAGTCTTCAAGATGGCGAATCACGGCAGCATGTGTTTCTGAGACGGCGTGATGGTGACCCACTGGCCCTTTCCTTGACCCGCTCCAGCCGCACCAGAGAGTCTCACATGCTTACTGCTTCCCTCATCAGTCAATCCCTCCAGCATTCTCTCACCCCCTCACCTGTGAAGTCTTCAAAGAATATTCCGAATCTCGGAAGGATGTGTTTCTGGGAGGGCGTGATGGTGACCCAGTGGCCTTTGAGTCGCTTCTGGCGCAGCGCGGCCCAGAAGGCGCGCGCGAACGATGCGATGCACGCCTCGTTGCGCGGCTCCGTCATCTCGCGCACGAAGAAGCGCGCGAATTGCTCCTACGCAAGGGAGGGGGGATAGGATTGTGGGGAAGGGGAGGGGAAGGAAAGGAGGAGAGGAGACGGGGATGCAGATGAGGGTGGGGCCCGGTTCCGCCATCCCCTGCACGAAGAAAATATCAAATTGCTGCTGCAGCAGTGGCGAGTTGAGCGGAGAAGAAAGGGAGGGGGAGAGGAAGAGTGCGAGAGTGAGGTTGTGTTCATAGGACTCACAAACATGTGTGCCTTAACTGGTGTTTGAATCAAGTAACAAATCACGAAGGAGAGTGGTACATGGAAGGGAGGGTAGGCTGGTCAATGCCATTTGCGGGCCTCGGCCGTCTGAGTCTCGACCTGAGAAGCCAACATTTGAGCAACTGATAAGAGCACGCATGCACCCATCCACCCCACCCACCGAACCACACCCCCTCGTCTCACCTGCCTGAACAGCACAATACCCTCCTGGGCAACAGTGTACCAGACGATTGAAAAGGAGACGATGAGAAACAGCACGGGCCAGAGGTGGAGACCTATCACCCCGCCCGCAGCTCAAACCAGAGAGTAGCAGCACAGCACGCTTTCCTCCTCTTCACCCCACCAGAGCCATACTAGAACCACCCTCGAACCCACCAGAACCGCGCCTGAATTCAACCCAACCCACCTGAACAACGATGTACCAGACGACTGAGAAGGAGAAGATGAGAAACAGCACGGGCCAGAGGCACAGCACGATGACCCCCGTTGCCAGCCCTGCCGCCGTGCCGCCCGGCTCCATGCTGCCCCTGATGAGCAGCGTGCAGCCCCAGGAGATGCCCGCCAGGGAGAGCGCGAGCAGGAGGAACTGCAGGCGCGGCGGGTCGAGGAGGCCGTAGAGCCACTGGTAGCGCCAGTGCTGCCACGCCCACTGGAAGAGCAGCTGCAGCAGCGAGAGGGCGAAGAAGAAGAGTGCGAACCAGAATAGCACCGTGCAGAACTGCTCAAAGCTGGCGCCGTGGGGCGGGGAGACGGGGCGTGGGGAGGGGAGTGGGGAGAGGGATGGGAAGCGAGATGAGGGTTTTGGTTGGGTTGAGCGATGGCGGTTGGGGGAAGAGGGGGGGAGAGGGCGAAGAAGAGGAGGCAAAACAGAAGGGCACCGTGCAGAACTGCTCAAAGCTGGTGGGGTGGGGGAGGGAGGGGGGGCAGGAAGGGGGAGGGGTGCAGAAAGAAAGAAAGGAGTAGAATTGGTTCTTCGAGTTAAATAGATGGGGAGAAACGAAGAGCCAACAAGAAGGGGGCAAACCTGAGGATGTGAGGACGTGAGAGGAAAAGCATTCAGGAACAACATGAGGGCATGACACATGGCATGAGGGCATGACACATGGCATGAGGGCATGACACATGGCATGAGGGCATGACACATGGCATGAGGGCATGACACATGGCATGAGGGCATGACACATGGCCTGAGGGCATGACACAAGACATGAGCCATGTAGCAATCTAAAAGGCGCGCTCACCCATGGTAGGAGTAGAAGAGGTTGGGGAAGTGCGAGTAGTAAGCATTGCCCCACGCCTGCATGTACTCATACTCCTCCTCGCTCAGCCGCGGCAGCAGCGTGGGGTCGAACCCCCTCGCTACTGCTATTGCTGCTGCTGCGTCTCCCCCTGTCCCACCCCCTGCAACTGCCAGGGCTATAAGAGCAGTCGCATTGAAGCCACTGTAACCGCTTGCGCTGCTGTTGCTGGTGGTGCTGGCGGTAGTTTCTTGAAGCATGCGATGATAGTGGGAGGGCGCACGAGACGATAGGGACAATGGGAGGAGAGTATATGGGAAGGCGGAGTGAAGGGAGGAGGGGAAGGAGGAGGGGAGAGAGGGGGCGGTCAAGGGCATGCCTCGTAGGTGGAAGGTGGGTGGGGGCGAGAAGGGGATGGGGTGGAAGGGGAGGGCTCGAGACGACCCCAAACTGCGACCGTGCGTCAGGCTTGGATGCGACATGGCATGCTGCATGTGCACATGTGACTTGGTTAGTTGCCGTGCTTGCACATGCACGTGGGCATGCGCATGGGCATGGGCATGGGCATGGGGCGGCAAGGAGTCGGCAGTATTGAAGCGGTCGGGGAGAGAGCGAGGGGAGTGGATTGTGTGAGAGTAGGGTACACGGTGGGAATGTGAGGGCGGGGGAGAGGAGAGAGAGGAGAGGAGGAAGTGGAAGGAGGAGGAGAGAACACGGCGGAGGTTGCGCGGGTTGAGGGAGGCGTGTGTTGCTGTGCTGTCAGCTGCTGTGTTGCCCACTGCTGCTGCTGGTGGGGAGAAGAACTTAGACCAGAAAGAGAGCTTCGATTGTGGCGAGGCAGAGGGGTTGGCGGAGGAGGCGGAGGCAGAGCTGTCTGCCTTGGTGGCGAGGTAGTGCCTGGTGTGTGGTAGGGAGAGATGGGGGGAGAGAGAACAATGGGACAGCAGGCAGAACAGAGGAGTTGATCGTGGTTGAGGGGGGTTGGAGGAGGAGGATGCAGAGCTGTCCGTCTTGGTGGCGAGATAGTGCCTGGTGGAAGGGAGAGGAGACATGGTGAGAAGAGAGAAGGGGGGAAGGGGAGGGGGAGAACAATGGGACAGAGGGCAGAACGAAGGGATTGAGAGGGGTTGCAAGAGCGAGAGCAATCTGTTTTGGTGGCGAGGTAGTGGCTGGTGGAAGGGAGGGGAGAGAAGGGGAGAGACAGAGAGAGATGGAGGCAGGGGTTGAGAGGGGGGTGGGCGGAAGTGAGAGGGGCGGGAAACAATGAAGCACTCACGGCGCACAGGAGTGCAGGGGGGGGGGGCAGTGCTGTTGTCCTGCCCGGGGCCTATTGTCCTGCCCGGGGCCTATTGTCCTGCCCGGGGCCTATTGTCCTGCCCGGGGCCTATTGAGGCGCCTCAACCATAGGATGTGTTGAAGCATGAAGATTGGGTATCAAGTGAGAACTTACGCTCACGGCACACATGAGGGCGGGGCGGTGCTGTCGCCCTGCCCCGGTGCCTCAGAGGGAGATGCACTCGCTCCCCACCCATCGTCGGAAGATGACTCAACAACACATGATCCCAAAAGGGTATACTATGATGCCAGGATACCCTTACATCACTCCAATGACTTTGTAGTAGCAGCCAGCACTTACGGAGCACAGGAGGGCGGGGGGGTGCTGCTGTCCTGGCCGGGGGCGTCAGTGGGAGAGGAGTAGACGCCCTTCCAGCCATCAAAGGAGCCCTTGAAGGGCGCGGGGATGTAGAAGTAGGTCCAGCGCAGCCCGCCTGTGAGCTGGCGGTAGAACAGCGGCAGCACGCGCACTGCCAGGTGCTGCGTCAGCGCGAACACTTGCAGGTGCAGAGCCATGCGCTGTGGGGGACAATGGGGGGAGGGGCGTGACCCGAGGAGAAGCAGAAGCAGTGTGAGTGTGCCCCCACCCAGGTTGTGTGCGAGTGTGCCCCCACCCAGGTTGTGTGCGAGTGTGCCCCCACCCAGGTTGTGTGCGAGTGTGCCCCCACCCAGGTTGTGTGCGAGTGTGCCCCCACCCAGGTTGTGTGCGAGTGTGCCCCCACCCAGGTTGTGTGCGAGTGTGCCCCCACCCAGGTTGTGTGCGAGTGTGCCCCCACCCAGGTTGTGTGCGAGTGTGCCCCCACCCAGGTTGTGTGCGAGTGTGCCCCCACCCAGGTTGTGTGCGAGTGTGCCCCCACCCAGGTTGTGTGCGAGTGTGCCCCCACCCAGGTTGTGTGCGAGTGTGCCCCCACCCAGGTTGTGTGTGAGTGTGCCCCCACCCAGGTTGTGTGTGAGTGTGCCCCCACCCAGGTTGTGTGCGAGTGTGCCCCCACCCAGGTTGTGTGCGAGTGTGCCCCCACCCAGGTTGTGTGTGAGTGTGCCCCCACCCAGGTTGTGTGCGAGTGTGCCCCCACCCAGGTTGTGTGTGAGTGTGCCCCCACCCAGGTTGTGTGCGAGTGTGCCCCCACCCAGGTTGTGTGTGAGTGTGCCCCCACCCAGGTTGTGTGCGAGTGTGCCCCCACCCAGGTTGTGTGCGAGTGTGCCCCCACCCAGGTTGTGTGCGAGTGTGCCCCCACCCAGGTTGTGTGTGAGTGTGAGGGCAACGACTTGCACAAGCAGTGCCATGCGCTGAGGGGCGAGTGGAGGTGGGAGACGAGGTGGGGTGTGACTGACTGCCAGGCTGTCCTGTTGGTTGGGCACACCACCAACTCACGAGAACGTTTCGAGAGGGATCCGCGCCCACGACGGGCGTGCTGACGGCACGGAAGGGGCGGTTGGAGACGATGCGGATGCCCGGCGAGGACGTGGGGTCGGACTCCTTGATGGTGACGGCCAGCGACACCGCTGCTGTGGACAGCGCCGTCCACCCCACCACTGCCGTCACCACCCACGCCGTTATCGCGCCCGCATCTCCTGGCGCGTCTGTATGGGAGAGAGAGGAGAGAGGGGAAGGAGAAGGGAGAGCCGTCCCACAAGGGCGGTGCATTGGGACGGGGAGAGAGCAGCGGTGTGCTATCCTACAGTGCGTGTGAGGGGGGGTGTTACCCCACAGTGAGTGAGGGAGGGAGAGTGTTACCCCACAGTGAGTGAGGGAGGGAGAGTGCTACCCCACAGTGAGTGAGGGAAGGAGAGTGCTACCCCACAGTGAGTGAGGGAGGGAGAGTGTTACCCCACAGTGAGTGAGGGAAGGAGAGTGCTACCCCACAGTGAGTGAGGGAGGGAGAGTGCTACCCCACAGTGAGTGAGGGAGGGAGAGTGCTACCCCACAGTGAGTGAGGGAGGGAGAGTGCTACCCCACAGTGAGTGAGGGAAGGAGAGTGCGACCCCACAGTGAGTGAGGGAGGGAGAGAGTTATCCCACAGTGAGTGAAGGAGGGAGAGTGCTACCCCACAGTGAGTGAGGGAAGGAGAGTACTACCCCACGGTGAGTGAGGGAGGGAGAGTGTTACCCCACAGTGAGTGAGGGAGGGAGAGTGCTACCCCACAGTGAGTAAAGGAAGGAGAGTGCTACCCCACAGTGAGTGAGGGAGGGAGAGTGCTACCCCACAGTGAGTGAGAGAGGGAGAGTGCTACCCCACAGTGAGTGAGGGAAGGAGAGTGCTACCCCACAGTGAGTGAGGGAGGGAGAGTGTTACCCCACAGTGAGTGAGGGAAGGAGAGTGCTACCCCACAGTGAGTGAGGGAGGGAGAGTGTTACCCCACAGTGAGTGAGGGAAGGAGAGTGCTACCCCACAGTGAGTGAGGGAGGGAGAGTGTTACCCCACAGTGAGTGAGGGAAGGAGAGTGCTACCCCACGGTGAGTGAGGGAGGGAGAGTGTTACCCCACAGTGAGTGAGGGAGGGAGAGTGCTACCCCACAGTGAGTGAGGGAGGGAGATTGCTACCCCACAGTGAGTGAGGGAGGGAGAGTGCTACCCCACAGTGAGTGAGGGAGGGAGAGTGCTACCCCACAGTGAGTGAGGGAAGGAGAGTGCTACCCCACAGTGAGTGAGGGAGGGAGAGTGTTACCCCACAGTGAGTGAGGGAAGGAGAGTGCTACCCCACAGTGAGTGAGGGAGGGAGAGTGTTACCCCACAGTGAGTGAGGGAAGGAGAGTGCTACCCCACAGTGAGTGAGGGAGGGAGAGTGTTACCCCACAGTCAGTGAGGGAGGGAGAGTGCTACCCCACAGTGAGTGAGGGAGGGAGAGTGCTACCCCACAGTGAGTGAGGGAGGGAGACTGCTACCCCACAGTGAGTGAGGGAGGGAGAGTGCTACCCCACAGTGAGTGAGGGAGGGAGAGTGCTACCCCACAGTGAGTGAGGGAAGGAGAGTGCTACCCCACAGTGAGTGAGGGAGGGAGAGTGTTACCCCACAGTGAGTGAGGGAAGGAGAGTGCTACCCCACAGTGAGTGAGGGAGGGAGAGTGTTACCCCACAGTGAGTGAGGGAAGGAAAGTGCTACCCCACAGTGAGTGAGGGAGGGAGAGTGTTACCCCACAGTGAGTGAGGGAGGGAGAGTGCTACCCCACAGTGAGTGAGGGAGGGAGAGTGCTACCCCACAGTGAGTGAGGGAGGGAGATTGCTACCCCACAGTGAGTGAGGGAGGGAGAGTGCTACCCCACAGCGAGTGAGGGAAGGAGAGTGCTACCCCACAGTGAGTGAGGGAGGGAGAGTGCTACCCCACAGTGAGTGAGGGAAGGAGAGTGCTACCCCACAGTGAGTGAGGGAGGGAGAGTGTTACCCCACAGTGAGTGAGGGAAGGAGAGTGCTACCCCACAGTGAGTGAGGGAGGGAGAGTGCTACCCCACAGTGAGTGAGGGAGGGAGAGTGCTACCCCACAGTGAGTGAGGGAGGGAGAGTGCTACCCCACAGTGAGTGAGGGAAGGAGAGTGCGACCCCACAGTGAGTGAGGGAGGGAGAGAGTTATCCCACAGTGAGTGAAGGAGGGAGAGTGCTACCCCACAGTGAGTGAGGGAAGGAGAGTACTACCCCACGGTGAGTGAGGGAGGGAGAGTGTTACCCCACAGTGAGTGAGGGAGGGAGAGTGCTACCCCACAGTGAGTAAAGGAAGGAGAGTGCTACCCCACAGTGAGTGAGGGAGGGAGAGTGCTACCCCACAGTGAGTGAGAGAGGGAGAGTGCTACCCCACAGTGAGTGAGGGAAGGAGAGTGCTACCCCACAGTGAGTGAGGGAGGGAGAGTGTTACCCCACAGTGAGTGAGGGAAGGAGAGTGCTACCCCACAGTGAGTGAGGGAGGGAGAGTGTTACCCCACAGTGAGTGAGGGAAGGAGAGTGCTACCCCACAGTGAGTGAGGGAGGGAGAGTGTTACCCCACAGTGAGTGAGGGAAGGAGAGTGCTACCCCACGGTGAGTGAGGGAGGGAGAGTGTTACCCCACAGTGAGTGAGGGAGGGAGAGTGCTACCCCACAGTGAGTGAGGGAGGGAGATTGCTACCCCACAGTGAGTGAGGGAGGGAGAGTGCTACCCCACAGTGAGTGAGGGAGGGAGAGTGCTACCCCACAGTGAGTGAGGGAAGGAGAGTGCTACCCCACAGTGAGTGAGGGAGGGAGAGTGTTACCCCACAGTGAGTGAGGGAAGGAGAGTGCTACCCCACAGTGAGTGAGGGAGGGAGAGTGTTACCCCACAGTGAGTGAGGGAAGGAGAGTGCTACCCCACAGTGAGTGAGGGAGGGAGAGTGTTACCCCACAGTCAGTGAGGGAGGGAGAGTGCTACCCCACAGTGAGTGAGGGAGGGAGAGTGCTACCCCACAGTGAGTGAGGGAGGGAGACTGCTACCCCACAGTGAGTGAGGGAGGGAGAGTGCTACCCCACAGTGAGTGAGGGAGGGAGAGTGCTACCCCACAGTGAGTGAGGGAAGGAGAGTGCTACCCCACAGTGAGTGAGGGAGGGAGAGTGTTACCCCACAGTGAGTGAGGGAAGGAGAGTGCTACCCCACAGTGAGTGAGGGAGGGAGAGTGTTACCCCACAGTGAGTGAGGGAAGGAAAGTGCTACCCCACAGTGAGTGAGGGAGGGAGAGTGTTACCCCACAGTGAGTGAGGGAGGGAGAGTGCTACCCCACAGTGAGTGAGGGAGGGAGAGTGCTACCCCACAGTGAGTGAGGGAGGGAGATTGCTACCCCACAGTGAGTGAGGGAGGGAGAGTGCTACCCCACAGCGAGTGAGGGAAGGAGAGTGCTACCCCACAGTGAGTGAGGTGAGGGATACCCCACAGTGAGTGAGGGAGGGAGAGTGCTACCCCACAGTGAGTGAGGGAGGGAGAGTGCTACCCCACAGTGAGGGAGGGAGGGAGAGTGATACCCCACAGTGAGTGAGGGAGGGAGAGTGCTACTCCACAGTGAGTGAGGGAAGGAGAGTGCGACCCCACAGTGAGTGAGGGAGGGAGAGTGTTACCCCACAGTGAGTGAGGGAGGGAGAGTGCTACCCCACAGTGAGTGAGGGAGGGAGATTGCTACCCCACAGTGAGTGAGGGAGGGAGAGTGCTACCCCACAGTGAGTGAGAGAGGGAGAGTGCTACCCCACAGTGAGTGAGGGAAGGAGAGTGCTACCCCACAGTGAGTGAGGGAGGGAGAGTGTTACCCCACAGTGAGTGAGGGAAGGAGAGTGCTACCCCACAGTGAGTGAGGGAGGGAGAGTGTTACCCCACAGTGAGTGAGGGAAGGAGAGTGCTACCCCACAGTGAGTGAGGGAGGGAGAGTGTTACCCCACAGTCAGTGAGGGAGGGAGAGTGCTACCCCACAGTGAGTGAGGGAGGGAGAGTGCTACCCCACAGTGAGTGAGGGAGGGAGACTGCTACCCCACAGTGAGTGAGGGAGGGAGAGTGCTACCCCACAGTGAGTGAGGGAGGGAGAGTGCTACCCCACAGTGAGTGAGGGAAGGAGAGTGCTACCCCACAGTGAGTGAGGGAGGGAGAGTGTTACCCCACAGTGAGTGAGGGAAGGAGAGTGCTACCCCACAGTGAGTGAGGGAGGGAGAGTGTTACCCCACAGTGAGTGAGGGAAGGAAAGTGCTACCCCACAGTGAGTGAGGGAGGGAGAGTGTTACCCCACAGTGAGTGAGGGAGGGAGAGTGCTACCCCACAGTGAGTGAGGGAGGGAGAGTGCTACCCCACAGTGAGTGAGGGAGGGAGATTGCTACCCCACAGTGAGTGAGGGAGGGAGAGTGCTACCCCACAGCGAGTGAGGGAAGGAGAGTGCTACCCCACAGTGAGTGAGGTGAGGGATACCCCACAGTGAGTGAGGGAGGGAGAGTGCTACCCCACAGTGAGTGAGGGAGGGAGAGTGCTACCCCACAGTGAGTGAGGGAGGGAGAGTGATACCCCACAGTGAGTGAGGGAGGGAGAGTGCTACTCCACAGTGAGTGAGGGAAGGAGAGTGCGACCCCACAGTGAGTGAGGGAGGGAGAGTGTTACCCCACAGTGAGTGAGGGAGGGAGAGTGCTACCCCACAGTGAGTGAGGGAAGGAGAGTGCTACCCCACAGTGAGTGAGGGAGGGAGAGTGTTACCCCACAGTGAGTGAGGGAGGGAGAGTGCTACCCCACAGTGAGTGAGGGAGGGAGAATGCTACCCCACAGTGAGTGAGGGAGGGAGAGTGCTACCCCACAGTGAGGGAGGGAGGGAGATTGCTACCCCACAGTGAGTGAGGGAAGGAGAGTGCTACCCCACAGTGAGTGAGGGAGGGAGAGTGCTACCCCACAGTGAGTGAGGGAGGGAGATTGCTACCCCACAGTGAGTGAGGGAGGGAGAGTGCTACCCCATAGTGAGTGAGGGAAGGAGAGTGCTACCCCACAGTGAGTGAGGGAGGGAGAGTGTTACCCCACAGTGAGTGAGGGAGGGAGAGTGCTACCCCACAGTGAGTGAGGGAGGGAGAGTGCTACCCCACAGTGAGTGAGGGAGGGAGAGTGATACCCCACAGTGAGTGAGGGAGGGAGAGTGCTACCCCACAGTGAGTGAGGGAAGGAGAGTGCTACCCCACAGTGAGTGAGGGAGGGAGAGTGCTACCCCACAGTGAGTGAGGGAGGGAGATTGCTACCCCACAGTGAGTGAGGGAGGGAGAGTGCTACCCCACAGTGAGTGAGGGAGGGAGAGTGCTACCCCACAGCGTAGGAGGGATAGAGTGTTAACCCAGAGTGACTGAGGAGGGTGTGTTGGCACATTCAGTGAGCGAGGGAGGGTGTGTTGGAGGGTGAGTTCATGTTCCCCGCATTATCCACAACTGTTGACTTGGTTCGACTAAATAGGAGAGTGTCAACCTATTGTGTGAGAGAGAGAGAGTGTGGACCCACAGTGAGCGAGGGAGAGGGTGTTGGAGGGCGAGTTGGGGTTGCCTGCAATGTCCACCACAGTTGCTGCCGGCACCACTATTGTCACATCGCCATCGCTCACTGCCGCCACCGTCACCTCGTAGTACCGCCCCAAACCCTTGTCAACCCCTGTCCAGCTGGAACAGGAATGGGAGATGGCAGACCATGATGGGGGCATGGAACATAGCGCGGGGAGATGGCATGGTGCGGATGAAGGGAGATGGTATGGTGCGGATGAAGGGAGATGGCATGGTGCGGATGAAGGGAGATGGTATGGTGCGGATGAAGGGAGATGGCATGGTGCGGATGAAGGGAGATGGTATGGTGCGGATGAAGGGAGATGGTATGGTGCGGATTAAGGGAGTTGGCATGGTGCGGATGAAGGGAGAGGAGAACAACACAAACACATGTCGCCGTCGCTCACTGCCACCGTTGTCAGCTCGTAGCGCTACTATAATCCAGGTGATCAGCGCATGCGCATGTGCCATAGCTTGCTGTGCCATAGCGGCAGTAATCTCGGTCACCAGATAATGACCCCATTGAAGAGCTGCCAAGAGGAGCTGTTGAACTTGGCCACATGCTCTGAGAAGGCCAGACAAGGATGGGGTAGACCTCTCATCCATGCGATGGCAGCCCATAGCCCCAGCCATGCAACACCACAAACATGTATCTCACTCACCATGTAATGACTCCATTGGAGAGCTGGATGGAGGAGGTGTTAAAGCCCAGCACGGGCTCTGAGAAGGCGACGAGGATGGGGTAGACCCAGTCCGTGGTGGCGCTACTCTCACTCACACTCAGCTGCACTGACGGTGCCGTGGTGTCTAGAGTGAGCGGGGACGGGAACGAGGGAGAAAGGGCGGGAGGGATGGAGGGAGGATGGCGAAGTGCCAGGATGTGAATGCAGAAGTGTATGGAAGGGGCATTCACACCCAAGTAGAAAGTCAAGGGTTGTGCAGGGCAGTTCTGAGAATTCGAGAAAATGCGACAACAAAAAGTGCGACAAATGGACAGAGCAGGCTGCGGTGGGGGGGAGAGCACACTGCGGTGGGGGGGAGAGCACACTGCGGTGGGCTGCGTGGGCTGGCAGGTGGAAAAAAGAAAAGCGTGACATGGAGAGCACAAGACAGAGTGGGGCGGGTGGGGTGGGTGGAGGGCAGACAAGACTGACCAAAGAAGAAGAAGAAGGGCTGTGTGGGCTGGCACGTGTTGCCGGCAGCATCAGTGACATTGTCATGCCGTATGTCCACCACCACTGACCCCTCGCCCGTCGGCCACACCTGTCAGCCATCTCACATGCCATCAGGAAAGGCGAGAAATGGCAAGGACTGATTGGTGGGTTAGGGTAGGCAAGAGCGTGCAGGAGAGCAGCATGGGTGACGTCCTCATCTCATGGCGCATGCCCTCCACCACTGCCCCCTCGCCCGTCAGCCACACCTGCCAGATGGCATCACCGACGAAGCAAGGGGAAGGATTGGTGGTCGAGGGGAACACGGGAGCATGCAAGCAGTGAAGCACTCAAGTCCTCATGCCGTATATGATATATCCACCACCACTGGGCCCTCTCGCGTGGGCCACACATGGCAGTGGCATCACATCACATGCAAGGAACAGCGCTTGATGGTTGAATTCTATAGGGTAACTCGGAGTGGGATGGAGGGTGCGAGGGAGCAGGGAGCAACATGTGTGTGTATGGCCTATGTCCAGCACCACCCACCACTGGTACCCGAACACACCACAAACTGGTTCTGTGCTCAGCTCTTCACAACCCTCACGTCACCTCACCTGGAACTGGTATTCCAGGTCAGGCACAGCTTGGGGGTCGCTGGTGGTGGCGTTGACTGACAGTAAACCCCGTCCCGTCCAAGTCTTATAATCCGTGAATGAACTCTTTCCACAACCCACCTAGAAAGAAGCTGTACCCTGTATTCCCCTCGAAACACAACCCACCTGGATTGGGTCGGTCACGGGCTGGGGGTCGCTGGTGGTGGCATTGACGACGGCGAGGGATGCGGATGACATGACAAGGCAGAGACTGACTTGGAGAAGAGAAGAACACCCGGCACGTCACATCACGGGCGACTGACTGACTCTTAAAGCCTGACTCTGACATTGACCGACTCACAGTAAAACCAATAAAAAGGTTCCACTTTCGAAAATAAAGAAAGAAGAAAAGGAAAAAAGGAAACCCACCTGGAATTGGTACTCAAGGTCAGTGACAGGCTGGGGGTCGCTGGTGGTGGCGTTGACGACAGCGAGGGATGCGGAGGAGAGGGAAGAGACGCGCTTGGAGAAGAGCACCCGGCACGTCACGGGCGACTGGCTGACCCGTGGCGTGGCTCTGAGCTGCGTGAAGAACTTGACCACTGCGAAGGGTGTGTCGCACGAGAGAGTGGCTTCCAGAGGGGCGCGGTCTGGAAGGCGGGAATGGAAGGGGTGGAATGGGAGGAGGTTAGAGTTGGGTGCGGTTCGAGGGTGTAGTAATGAGTGGCTGGCTGGACGTGTGGCGTGGCTCTGAGCTGCGTGAAGAACTTGACCACTGCAAAGGGTGTGTCGCACGAGAGAGTGGCTTCCAGAGGGACGCGGTCTGGCTGGAGATGGAAAAGGGAGAAGACGGGAGGGGGGAAGGAGGTGGGGGAGGAATGGGCGTGTTGCACAAGAGAGTGGCCTCCAGAGGGACGCGGTCTGGCAGTCGGAGGGGAAAAAGTGGGGAGTGGGAGAGGTAGGGCGGGGGTCAGGGCTGGGTGGGTTAAACTTCCAGTGGTCGGGCGAGAGGCACGGCGAGAGGCACGGCGAGAGGCACGGCAAGAGGCACGGCGAGAGGCACGGCAAGAGGCATGGCAAGAGGCACGGCAAGAGGCACGGTGAGAGGCGCGGTGAGAGGCACGGTGAGCAGCACCGAGGGACGAACATGAACGTTGGAGAATGGGGCACCGAGGCATGTGGTCCAATCTCTCCACACCACTAGGCATGTGGTCCAATCTCTCCACACCACTAGGCATGTGGTCCAATCTCTCCACACCACTAGGCATGTGGTCCAATCTCTCCACACCACTAGGCATGTGGTCCAATCTCTCCACACCACTAGGCATGTGGTCCAATCTCTCCACACCTAGGCAACTCTGCCAGTCATGAGCTTACCTATCCTAATAACAGCATACGAGTCAAACCCTGCCCTCCATGCCCTCCCACTAGAGTCAGCACAGCTGCCTGGTCTTAAAGCCACAGTCACAGCAGCGCCACTCGCACTGCTACTGCTGCTGCTGCTGTCGCCATTGCTGGTAGAATTGCTGCTGTCGGTAGAGTCGTTAGCACTGCCTCCGGTATTGCTGCTACTACTACTGGTGGAGGCGGGTGGCAGGGTGGCAGTGAGGGAGTATCGGGTCCCGTCATCTGAGGCCAGGAACGACGAGGGGTCCATGCTCACTATGCCCTGTGGTGATGCCTCCACCTGACACGTGTGAGCGACCAAAGGAGACGGCGGAAGTGCGGACGGAGGGGAGGGGAGGAGGGGAGAGGGGGGAGGAGGGAACTCGTTGGTTTAAATGCCGGGAGAACCGGAGGTTGGGAGCGATGGAATAAGGTTGGGATGGAGGGAGCCTAATGTGACCAAGGGGGTACACACTGAGGGTACACGAACAGTGAAAGCTGGCCTAAACAATACGTCATGTAAACAAGTGCTCCATTAAAATTTCACAGGAGCGATGTACGTAGAGAAGCACTCAATCACGTACATCACATGCAGTGGCATTGCGCTGCAGGCCCGGGCACGGCTGGTCAAACGAAATGCTGATGCACACTGAGCCTCCCCGCACTTGTGGTGTTTGGGGGCGCCTAAACGGAGCGAGGCATATACAAAGTGCAGCAATCACGTACATCGCAGGCAGTGGAGTTGCACTGCAGGCCCGGGCACGGCTTGTCGAAGGCTATGCTGATCTGCACCGCGCCCTCCCTTGCTTGTGGCGGGTCCACTGTCAGCGTTGGCACTGGACTGGCTGCGTCTGATGGGGCACGCCGCACACGGGAGGAGAGGATAAGAGAAGAGTGGGGACGGGTGGAGAAGGGCGTGTGAGAGTGTAATATCCAAGAGTGGGCTCTTGACAGGGAGCTACGCCTCTCCTTTTGCAGCTGCAATCAGCGATACAGTGGGTGTCCTGTATCCACACAGCCAGCCAGTCAGCCCCTCACCCGTCCCACCCACCCTCCCACCCAAGCACTAGTGCACCCACCCACCCGCCCACCGGTGCACAGCTGCCCCGGGCGAGAATTCTGCAAACGCGATTGGTGAGAACTGAGTGATAGAATGTGATGAGAGCACTGAGAAAGAGGAAAGACAAGGCGAGACGTACCAACGACCCATTCATATGTGGCCTGCGCCTGAGCCTCCACCTGCGCCCCTCCCCCTCCTCTCCCTCCCCCCACCCCGCCTCCCCCCTCTGCGCCGTCCATGCCAACAGCAGCAGCAGCGGCCTGCAGGCGGCTGCCAGTGACCCCGGGGGCGCCCTTGAGCGCCATCACTGTGAAGCGGTGCCGCCCGTCCGTCAGCCCGCGCGCTGTGAACCACCCCCGCGGGCACGGGAAGCTGGGAAGCGCGTCTAGCTGCGGGGGGACGGGGAGGGGCGCACGGGGGAGGGCGGAGGAGGGGCGAGGGACGGACGGGGAGGAGAGTGGCGGAAGAGGGAGGGGATGACGTTTGAGTGGATCTACGCCTGCAGGCGGGTGCCAGTGACCCCTGGGGCGCCCTTGAGCGCTGTGACTGTATGAGGCTGCCCGCTGTGAAGCACCCGCGAGGGCCGGGGAAGCTGGGAAGCGAGTCCGGTTGTGGGGCCAGCCAAGGGGGTCGGGCCTGCGGGATAAAGGGGTTGCGTGTTTTCCACATGTGCAGGCAGGCGGGTGCCAGTGACCCCTGAAGCGCCCTTGAGCGCCGTGACTGTGAAGAGGTGCCGCCCGTCCGAGAGGCCGCACGCTGTGAACCACCCCCACGGACAGGGGAAGTGTGGGGGGGTCGGGGAGGGAAGGGGATGGCGGGGTGAGAGGAGATGAGGAGGGTGGAAGTGAGGTGGGTGGGTGAGGTGAGAGAAGAGGTGGGAGAGGGAGACAGGAGAATGGGGTGAGAGAGGGAGGTGAGGGAGGGAGGTAAGAAGGGGAGGTGAGACGGGGAGGTAAGAGGGGGAGGTGAGAGAGGGAGGTAAGAGGGGGAAAGAAGCATGTGATGAGGGGCGTGTAGGGGAGGACGCCTGCAGAGGCGCATTGAACCCTTGGACGTTGCACAACGATGAAGCGAATGAGGACTGGTGGGAACAGGAGGAGGCGGGGAGGCATGGGCAAGTGAGGGAAGAGAGGATGGGGAAGAGCTGGGGTGAGAGCATGGGAGGACGCACCTTGCAGAGGAAGGTGCAGGCGTCACAGCGCGCAGGTGAGAGCGCGTCTCTCGTCTCCAGCACCTGCCACGAGAACCGCGCGCGCCCCACCTTCGACACCCCCCCTGGCCCCCGCACAAACGACACTGCAACTGCGGGCGCGGACGCTACAGAGGCTGGAGGCGCGACAGATGCTACAGACGACGCGGGTGACGCGGACAAACGCGCTTGCAGTGCAACAAGCGCCGTACCACCTCCGCCCCCAACACTGTCACCAGCACCACTGCCAACGCTACCACCAGCATCGCTGCTGCTGCTGCTGGCTCTTGGTATCGCAGCTGCTCCACTCGCCTCTCCCATTCCTGCCCCTGCACCCGAAGCTGCGGCTGCACCCGAACCTGCGGCTGCACCCGAACCTGTGGCTGTAGCCGAGCCTACAGTTGTAGACGAATCAAATGCCGTGGCCGAGCCAACAGCTGTGGCGGCGCCAGAGGGAGCCTGCTCCTGTAGCGGCTGACCTGGCTGCGGCTGCTTCAGCGCGACTGGGACGAGCACGGCCGTGAGGCGAACCGCTGCCTGTAACACCTGACAGGGTAACTGCTGGAAGCCCCCGCAGAGGCGGCACGGCTGTGCTACCTCCGCGGACGCTGTTACTGCAACGGTCAGGGTTGCGTTGACGATAGGGTTACCAGCAGTGCTGCTGTTATTGCTTGCTGGGTTGCGACTGGCGGCAGGCAGAGCCCACGACACGTCGCCCATGTAACACGCGAACGGGCGGGTGCCCCCGCACCGACCCACGGGCCTGCACGGCCCTGCTGTGAGCATTTCACGCCCGTTAACGCGTATAGACTGTACAGTCTGGTCGGGCCAGTCGAAATCGGTAGGGACCACACCCACTGCGAGAACGTATGTGAGTCGCCACTGCGAGCTGTTGTAACTGTCGCTGTCTTTCGCATCAGCACGTGACGGTAACAGCCCTGTGGAGACCGACACGGTGCAGTTCGGTCCAACTCCCCCTGCTCCAGTGTTCTCCGCACCTCCCGCGCCAGTTCCCCCCGCGCCGGTCCCCCCCGCGCCCGTGGCCCCCGCGCCCGTGCCCCCCGGAAGCGGCCCCATAACGGGGTCATCCTCGCGGCGGTCGGGCGGAACGAGCGGGGAGGCGCAGAAGGTGTCGACGAAGGAGAGCACGCGGAAGGTTGAGGGGAGGACTTGCGCGCGCGCGGGGGGGAAGCGGAAGAGGAGGAGGAGGAAGGAGAGGACGAGAGGGTGGCGGAGGGGAAGGCGGGCGGAAAGGGAGGGAGATTTGGCTGCTAAACGAGGACGACGCGGAGCAGTCAGGATGTTAACGGAAGCACAAGCAGAGCTCGAAACCCTAAACGCACCCATTTTCTCCCTATCTCAACCACCCTTCCTTGCGCCGTTCCGTGCGCTCTCCTCCGCTTCGCCGCTAGCATCCTAAGACCATTCTAGGACTTCTGCTAACTAGGAGCGTTATCCTGAACTTGCGATTCTTGGGTTAGCTCAACAGAAACGCCACCTGGATATTGTACGTGGGTGGGAAGGAAGTTCGTAATGGGGTATAAATAGCGGCGGGGGTAGTTGACCGCACAAAAAGCACTTTGCGTGGGTGGATGGAACGGTGGCACAACTGTACTGTACCGCGTTTCGACGTTGCGTGGAACGGTGGACGGGTATTGTGGTTCCTCCCACCGCTACTGGCCCGGTATGGCGGGTACCTCCACCCCTGACAGCAAATGCAGACGAGCTGCTGGCGACTTTTGTTCGCGAAGGGGTGCAGCTCCTGACGAGCGTAGACGAGCTTTCATATATTTGTAAATATGTTTTTTTTCGAAAGTGTCTAACACTTTCTAAAAATGTATATTGTGAAAGCGCAGCTGCCTGTAACGCAGCAAAGCAACGGCGAATTACAATTCGCCGAGTACATAAAGAGGGTTGGAGGCCATTCGGCCTCCATCCACAACTTCAACTTTGCAGTTCCACTTCCCACCCACCCACCCTAGTTGTATAATTGTATAATACATAGTTCGACGAGAATGTTGTATTACTGCAATTGTAATGAAGCCCGTTGCCTTTGCAAGAACAGCAAGCAAGCTTTCTTGATCTATAACACAAGAAGAAACGAATGGGTTATCTGAATAAGATTGCTTTCCTATCACGTGTCAGGCATTAGGTTTGACACGAAGTGGAGGTTTGTGTGAGAATAGGTAGTTAGAAGTAGGAGCCATAGCTAGGTCTTTCCTAGCTAGGCAAGAATAGTTAAGGCAAAAGAGAGGGATGCACTGCACTAGCAAGCAACAGGATACATATAGGAAACCCTAAGGGGTTGTATTCGCTATAGAGTACCCCACTGCAGGCTAGAGAACAAAGATAACATTCTGACACACCCCCATAGCCAAAGTGGGGTGTAATCAGCAGAGCAAGCAAAACAGAACAAGCTCAGGGTGGATCACAATATCACCACACATTCTAAGCACAAGTTCAAGAAGCAATAGTTTAAGTTCACAATTATGAGCAAAGCTAGTGGTAGTCACAACGGGCAAGTGAGGAGGAGAGGGAGTGAGAGGAGAGGAGATAGGAGGCGACGGCTGAAGCTGCATACACACGGGCAACAGGAGGCACACTGGCACAGTGGCTACCGGAACAACGCTCCGGACTACTGGAGTAACTGGCCCCGCGGCTTAAGTAGCGGCAGACGAGCAATGGACCCACAGGCGACTGGCACAGGTGGCTACAACTGGGCTACCGGAGCAACTCCCCGGACTACAGGTGCTGCTGGCGACACGACGGCAACCTCCATTCAGCTTCCCCAAACTATCCCACTCCCCCTGACACATACCCGCTGCTACACCCCTAGCTCCACTCCCCCTTCACCCCCCCTTTGTACCACTCCACCGGCTCCAACAAGTCCACCCCCCCTCAGTGGCAGCTGCAGCACAAGGAGACGGAGGAGGAGGAGGAGCAGGGAACGGCACACAGTGGGTTCACCCCCATACCACTCACCCCCAAACCCTAATGTAGGAGAATGGGGAGTAGGAGGGGTGGGGCGCCAGTAGAAGCACGGGGGACAGCAGGGAGGGCAAGGGCAGCGAGGAAAGGGCCGCCCACGGGCCTGGCACAGCCGCCCGAACCGCGCGCAGGCGGCCCGAGCCGCGCGTGGGCCTGGCGCAGCCCGTACGGGCCGCACGCGGGCCTGGCGCAGCCCGTACGGGCCGCGCGCGAGCCTGGCGCAGCCCGTACGGGCCGCGGACGAGTCTGGCGTGGCCCGTACGTGCCGCGCGCAGGCTGTACGGGCCGCGCGCAAGCCATGACGGTCGACAGGGGGCGACGCGGAGGTCCCCATCGCCCGTCACAGCACCTCCCGGGAGCGGCGCGCGGCGTGACGGGGCAGTAACCCGCCGCGCGCCTCGAGGCGCACGGCGGGAAGAGAACCGCCGCGCGCCTCGGGGCGCACGGCGGAAAGGGAGAGTAGAAGTTGCAGCGGAAGGAGTGTGGTGGGGCCCACAGGCCAGGAGCTTATTGCTCTGATAACCATGTGAGAATAGGAAGTTAGAAGTAGGAGCCATAGCTAGGTCTTTCCTAGCTAGGCAAGAATAGTTTAGGCAAAAGAGAGGGATGCACTAGCAAGTAACAGGATACATATAGGAAACCCTAAGGGGTTGTACTCGCTATAGAGTACCCCACTGCAGGCTAGAGAACAAAGATAACATTCTGACAGTTCGGAAGACCCGAGGTGGCTCGATTTTGAGGCGGAAGTTCGGAAGAGACAAATTGGAGATTAAGGCCGCATGACTTGATGTCTGGCACGGGATAGGAATGTACCCTAAGGTAGGGTACGTTCTTGGCATCTGTCAAGTTTCCTGACACAAGGCTATCGACAGCTTCGATCGTTCCAGGTCATCATCAATCAAATCCAAACCCTTCACAGCTTCATGTCAGCCTGCCTGACACAAGCCAAGAACGTGTTGGGCTGAGAAAAGCCCTTAGGATCGTTTTCAAGACTAAGGCTCATGATAATGATGTATTAGCGGAAGCGTTTAATAGCAAGATGTGTGAGAACAAGATAACCTGATAATAGCAAAGAGTGTTACGAATAGTAATTATTGAAGCAACACTATGCACTCCTTACCGTAGCAGCCAAAGCACGCACTGCCGAGGATGAAGACGAGGCAGAAATAGCATGAAAGGTCGTACGGTTACGGAAGGATCTAGACCGTCGAGCAAACGACATCAAATAGCAGCAGTGGTAAGGATTCTGCCCGAACGGTTTTGTAACCACCTCAAGTCGCACGGTTAAATCTCGCCGTAATAAGGGAATGTACCCCTTAGAGTACATGGCTGGCTAGGACGCTTGATATTCCTCTGTACTCTTATTTATATTCCTTGTACTTGCATGTTTTATCAATCTCAAGCATTTTACATTCACTCTGCTATTGAGGTCAAGGGCCCACCACCAACACCTAGTCGTGTGCGAACCTTCACGAGGTGATCCTAGGAACGATCACTTTCTGATCGCAACATGGTACTGTCGAAATCAAGAGTGAAGAATGACTAGAAACACAGCAGTACAAGGTTTGTATATGCAACACCTAATTGGGCTGTACCCCTTAAGGAGTGCCCCACTACAGCCTAGAGCATAGTTCTGACACACCCTCATAAGCAAAGTGGGGGACAAGCAAGAGAACAAAGCAAGGTCAAGCCCAGGGTGGATCACAACGTCACCACACATTCTGAGCACAAGCAAATGACCACAAGGCCAGTTCACATGCAGAGTTATATATATGGGAGAACACGCAGGACAGTGATCACGCCGTTCCAGGATGACATCTTTGCGTCCATGGCTGACTGCTATTGAGAGGAGTAGGGACCCTCTATCGCCTCTGCGTAAGAGCGCGGGGTTGGGATGTTTGGTGCATCCGGGTCTCCCTCAGGTGCAATCAGCATGGACACGAGATGAGGTACAGCAGTTGCAAAGCACTCAAAGTCCTCCTGCCTATCCTCAAGGACGTCCGTGCGAAGTGCACACTCACCCTCGACGGACGGAGTACAGACAGACTCAGTCTCAGCAACAAGACTAGCGGCGTAGTCTAGACGACAACGAGCAGCAAAGTCGACAAGATCAGCAACTAAGGCAGACGCAGTAGTGGAATCAAAGGAAGGGCCAGCGGGAGCGAAGTGTCGGTGCGCAAAAACAACGACAGGTCAGCAATCGAAGGAGCAAACCCAAGAGCTGCAAGCGTCATCCTCAATGTGTCGTGCCACTCGTGCAGTACGTCGGGCATGGGGCTCGTGCTTGGAGGATGGGCCCGAGTTGTCCTCACTGGTCACGTAGACGCTTCTTGGGTTGACGACTTGGCTACGCAGCGGTCGTCACAGGGTTAGACCTTCAGCCTTGGTTCCGGCTTTGTCTCGTGGCGGTCTACCCGCTCGTCTTCTGTTCTTAGTTCAAGTTGTGAGGCTGAGATCTACGCAGGGGCCATGGCTGCACAGGAGTTACGCTCGCTCACCTACCTGCTAACCGAATTGGGCGAGCCGCCTAGTTCTCCTCCAGTTATGTACGTTGACAACAAGGCCATGATTGCCTTGTGTCAGGAGCACAGACTGGAGCACATGACGAAGCACATCGCTCTGCGATACTTCCTTGCTCGAGAGTTGCAGCAGCGTGGACAGCTTCGTCTTGCTTAAGTGGCCTATCGGGCCAACACTGCTGATATCTTTACCAAGGCACTTCAGCATTGTGTTCATCAGCATTTCTGTACTGTTATAGGCCTTGTGCCTACTTGGCCTCACTTGCTCACTTCTTGACTTTGTTGTCAGAACATTATAGCTCATGCATATTGTGTAGGCTATAGTGGGGTAGCCCATAAGGTGTACAACCCAATTAGGGTTAGTACTTGTACCCAATTCATTCATAGTTCATTCATTCTCGTTTCTTCTCATGGTATCGGAGCAGGTTCCCTAACGGGAACGATTCCTAGGGCCCACCACTACGAATTTTATTTTTCCCTGCCCGGAGCGCGCTCCAGTTAGGCCCGAGTCGCGCCTCGTGTGCCTTCCTTACCGTCGCGCCCTCACTAGGCCCCTCACGGCCCCGTCGCGTCGCCCTTAGCGGCCCCTAGCAGCCTCGTCGCGCTGCCCTGGCGGTCGCGTCGCGCCGCCCTAACGGCCGCGACGCGCCGCCCAAGCCGCCCTCACGGCCCCCTAGCGGCCTCTTGCGGCCCCGATCCGCCGCTCTTGCGGCCCCGATCCGCCGCCCTTCGCGGCCCGTCGCCGCTCTCCCCCTGCGGCCCCTCGCCGCCCTTTCCCCAGCGGCCCCGTCGCCGCCCTTGCACGGCCCTGACGCCGCCCTCCCTGCGGCTCTGTCGCCGCCCTCTTCAGCGGCCCGTCGCCGCCCTTCTCAGCGGCCCCGCCGTCTCCTTTCAGAGGCCCCGCCGTCTCCTTTCAGCGGCCCCGCCGTCTCCTTTCAGCGGCCCCACCGTCTCCTTTCAGCGGCCCCGCCACTACCCCTGCAGCGGCCTCGTCGCCGCCCTTTCAGCGGCCCCGCCGCCTCCTTTAAGCGGCCCCGCCGCCTCCTCTCGGCGGCCCCGTCGCCTCCTCTCCGCGGCCCCGCCGCCTCCTCTCGGCGGCCCAGCCGCCTCCTCTCAGCGGCCCCGGACGCCGCCCTCTCAGCGGCCCTTCGGCCGCCTCCTTTGCGGCCCCGCCGAGCCGCCCAGCAGCAGAGCCGCCGAGCCGCCCAGCCACCGAGCCGCCCAGCAGCCGAGCTGCTGCGCCGCCCAGCAGCCGAGCCGCCGAGCCGCCCAGCCGCCGAGCCGCCCAGCAGCCGAGCCGCCGAGCCGCCCTGCAGCCGAGCCACCGAGCCGCCCAGCAGCCGAGCCGCCGAGCCGCCCAGCAACCGAGCCGCCGAGCCGCCCAGCAGCCGAGCCGCCGAGACGCCCAACTGTCGAGCCGCCTACCGCCCAGCTACCGAGCCGCCGAGTCGCCCTGCAGCCGAGCCGCCCGAGCCGCCCTGTCTGGTAAGAGCAGCGCCTCTATCACTGCACAGCCCTCACCCTACTGTTCGCGCTGCTAGTCTACTGCTGTCATGGCTACCCCTAGTGTCCTCGCTTTTGACGCTGAGGGTCGGGCCATTGACTTAGACGTCTGGATAGATGACCTGCAGCTTTTCTTATAGTGCGATAGGGCGGACGGTCTCTCTCTCTTTGACCTCACCTCTGGTGCCTCTCCTGCCCCTGCTGCTGATGCTGACGCCACTGTCCGCTCACAGTGGGCCACGCGCGATGCTGCTGCACGTCTTGCTGTGCGTCGCCACCTGCCTACCTCTGAGCGTGCGCACTTTAGCCAGTACAAGAGTGCTCAGACCTTGTACGACGCTGTAGTTGCACGCTACTCCTCCCCTGCCACTGCTGCACTGAGCCGCCTCATGCTACCGTACCTCTTCCCTGACCTTGCTGCCTTTCCCACAGTCGCTGACCTCATTACGCACCTCCGCACTAGTGACACTCGCTACCACGCTGCGCTTCCTGCTGAGTTCTGCGCCAAGAACCCCCCCCCCCAATGTACATCACTCTCTACTACATAGTCACCCGCCTCCCTGACTCCCTTCGCGTAGTGAGGGACCACTTTCTCTCAGTCTGTCCCACCACTCTCACTGTTGACCTCCTCGAGAAGGCCCTCCTAGCAACGGAGAAGAGCATAGTCGCTGTAAGGGCCTCTCGTGGTGACCCGCGCACCCCCATCTTTGAGGGGTGTTCCCCCTCCCCTCTCTTGCCCTCTGTTGCCTCTGCTGCTGCGGCCGACCTTGTTGGTCTGGAGTCGGTCGGTGCGGCGTCTACCCCTAGTAGGAAGCGTCGCTCTGGCAAGGGCAAGGGGGGCAGGGGCGGTGGAGGAGCTAGCGGGGGTGGTGGAGGCGGCGGTGGAGGCAGTGGAGGGGGTGGGGGTGGTGGTGGGAGTGGTGGCGGGGGTGGAGGTGTCGGTGGCGGCAGTGGAGGCGGAGGCGGCAGCGACGGTGGCGGTGGGAGCGGAGGTGGTGGAGGTGGCGGAGGTGGAGGAGGCGGTGGCGGAGGAGGAGGAGGAGGAGGTCGTGGCTCTTCGCAGAGGAGTGGCTCCGATGGTGGCCAGCGCCAGCACCAGCAGCGCAGTCGCGAGACCCTGTCCCCTCAGCAGCTCCGTGAGTGGTACTCTGCACGCCAGCGGGGTGGGGGTACTGGTCCGTGCACCTACATCCTGCGCACCGGCGACCGTGCGTGTGAGCATGTCAGAATGTTATCTTATGCTCTAGCCTGCAGTGGGGTGCTCTATAGCGAGTACAACCCTTCTAGGGTTTGCTATTTGTATCCTCATTCTTGCTAGTGCAGCCCCTCTCCTATCTTCTAACTTTCACAGAGCAATGTGGGGGTGCGCACCCCACCCAGCGCTGCTTTGGCCGCCTGACGGACGCTTGGCGTCACCAGTTCCCTGAGGCCACTGAGATCCCTCGCTGGGGCGAGCTGTCTAGGGCAGGGGTAGCTATCTTTGACCTTGACTTTGATGCTATTCTGGCTGCTATGTATACTGTGTCTATAAGTGAGGAGGGTGACTGTTACCGGTGTTTCCCGCCCGACCCGGGCATTGCGACTGCTGCTCTTGGTGCTAGCGAGGCTGCTGCTCTAGGTGCTGTTGCGTCTGCTTCCTCCGGTACTGGTGAGTCTGCGCTCTCAGGTACAGCGTCGGCTTCGACCTCCCACACCTTTACACTTGACTCGGGGGCTTCACGCTCCTTCTTTTGAGACCGCACCACACTCACACCGCTTGGTCGGCCAGTTGCAGTCCCCCTGGCAGACCCCTCTGGGGGTCCTGTCCTTGCTCACTTCTCCACTGTCCTCCCGTGTCCGGCAACCCCCTCTGGCACCCTGTCTGGTCTTTATCTCCCCTTGTTCTCTACGAACTTGGAGAGTGGTGCTGACCTACAAGATGCAGGGGTTCACCAGTTCACTCCTGCGAGTTAGCGGGTGACCCACTGTACGGACGCTTGGACAGGCCGACACCTGGCCACGTTTACACGTCGGTCGAGGTCGAGCCTGTACACACTGACCACTGCGTCTCCTCCAGTCCCTGCGTCTGGTCAGGTAGCTGCGTCGGGTCAGGTGTTAGCTGCAGCGTCCAGGTCTGGTCCTGAGTCTGCCCCCTGCTCGTGTCGCCTCCTGTGTCACGAGACTCTCCTCTAGCACCACCGCCTTGGTCACCCCTCCCTGCTTCATCTCCGAAGCATGGCCTCCCGTGTCCTACTCTCTGGTCTTCCCCGGTCCCTCCCTCCCCTTCCTCCAGGGCCTGACCCTATCTGCGTCCCCTGTGTCGAGGGGCGGCAGCGGGCTACCCCTCACTCCTCTCAGTTTCCTCCGACAGAGGCCCCGCTGCAGATGCTTCACATGGACGTGTGGGGCCCAGCCCGCGTCCGTAGACAGGGTCACGAGCGCTACTTCCTGCTGGTGGTTGACGACTACTCGCGTTACACCACAGTCTTCCCCTTGCGCAGCAAGGGTGATGTCACTGAGGTGTTGATCGACTGGATCCGCGCAGCTCGTCTCCAGCTCAGGCAGAGCTTCGGCTCAGACTTTCCTGTTATGCGTCTGCACTCTGACAGAGGCGGAGAGTTCTCCTCTGGCCTTCTGCGAGCCTACTGTCGTGCACGAGGCATCCGCCAGACCTTCACGCTTCCGGACTCTCCACAGCAAAATGGGATTGCTGAGCGCCGCATTGGCATGGTCATGGACGTCGCCCGTACGTCCATGATGCATGCGGCTGCCCCCCATTTTCTGTGGCCGTTTGCGGTTCGGTACGCGGCGCATCAGATCAACCTTCACCCCAGGGTCTCCATGCCGGAGACCACCCCAACTTTGCTGTGGACAGGGAAGTATGGGGATGCGTCTGCGTTCTGTGTCTGGGGATCTCGGGCGTTTGTCCGCGACTTGTCTGCGGACAAGCTGTCACCTCGTGCTGCTCCTTGCGTCTTCCTGGGTTTCCCCTCTGACGCGCCAGGGTGGCAGTTCTACCACCCCACCTCTCGCCGTGTTCTGTCCTCCCAGGACGTCACGTTCGACGAGTCGGTCCCCTACTACCGTCTCTTCCCCTACCGCACTCCGTCCCTCCCCCCGCCACCGCTCTTCCTTGTGCCAGGTCCCCCCCCGGTAGACCCCCTCCCCCCTCAGGGTCCTGCCCCGTCAGGTGTATCCCAGGTAGACGCTGTTGAGCCTGTCGAGGTCGCTGGTGACTCTGGTGCTGCTGAGGGTGCTGACTCTAGGGGTATTGAGCGTGTGGGTGCTACGCCTGGGGGTGCTGAGCCTGAGGGTACAATGACTAGGGGTGCTTAGCCTGGGGTGCTGAGTCTGGGGGTGCTGAGCCTGGGAGTACTACGCCTGGGGGTGCTGAGCCTGGGGGTGCTGAGCCTGGGGGTGCTGAGCCTGGGGGTGCTACGCCTGGAGGTGCTGAGCCTGGGGGTGCGGAGCCTGAGGGAGCTGGGCCTGCTGGTGCTGTGCCTGGCGGTTCTCCGGGTGCTTCTTCTTGCCGGGAGCCACTCTCTCCACAGGAGCTGCGTGAGTGGTTTGCCCGACGCTGGAGGCGAGCTGCTGGAGCTGGAGGTGCTGCGGGTACTGGAGGTTCTGTTGCTGCTGAGGGAGCTGGTGCCACGGGTCCCGAAGGTGCTCGTACTGGGGGTACTGGAGCTGCTGGACCTGCGGCTACTTTTGGAGCTGGAGCTGCTGCGGGTGTTGGCGCGGAGGCTACTACTGACGGTCCTGGAGGCGGTCCTGCTGGGGGTACTACTGGTGCTGCTGGAGGTACTGGAGCTGGAGCTGCTACTAGTGCTGGTGCTGCCACTTGGGGTGCTGGTGCTGTCCCTGCTGTGTCTGGAGTCACCGCGCGGCCTTGGCCGTACTTCGTTCCGCTCCTTCAGCAGGTTCTTGGTCTCCCGTCTTCTACTGGTCCTCCTCCTCCCTTAGAGTGTCCACAACCTGTCCCGTCGCAGTTACAGTTACAGCCGGCCTCCCCACTGCCTGCTCCGTCTCCCTACACTGGTCCTTCTGGAGGTCTTGCTGAGCGTCGTGAGCCTGCGTCTCGCCCTGCGTCGCCTGTCCGTGCTGCTCGCACTAGTGGTCGTGGTTCGCGTCAGCGTCCTTCTCCTGTCCCTGGCACGCACCGGATGTCTCTGCGTCCGTCCACTGCTCTTCTACGTGCCCCTTTGCCTTCTCCTCCTGAGTCTTCTCTTCCTGCTCTTGCCGACCCGGGGTCGGACTCTCTTCGTGCTGCCAGTCCTACTGTCACACGTCTCCTTGCTACTGTTGTCACTGACCCTTCCTTTGAGTCCACTGCTGCGTCTGCCCTAGTTGCTGAGCTCGTCGACTTTGCTGCTCGCTGTCGCCTAGACTACGCCGCCAGTCTTGTTGCTGAGTCTGAGTCTGTCTGTCCTCCGTCCGTTGGGGGTGAGTGTGCCCTTGGCACGGACGTCCTTGAGGACAGGCAGGAGGAGTTCCAGTGCTTGGCCGCTGCTTCACCTCATCTCGTGTCCGTACTGCTTCTCCCTGAGAGAGACCCGGATGCACTTGACATCCCGACTTCGCGCTCTTACGCAGAGGCGATAAAGGGTCCCTACTCCTCTCAGTGGCAGGCAGCTATGGACGCAGAGATGGCTTCCTGGAAGTCCACAGGCACCTACGTTGACGCTGTTCCCCCTCCTGGGGCGAACATCGTCACCGGCATAAGGATTTTCAGGGTGAAGCGACCGCCGGGTTCTCCGCCTGTCTTCAAGGCGCGTTACGTGGCTCGTGGCTTTAGCCAGCGGCAGGGAGTTGACTACTTTCAGACCTTCTCTCCCACCCCGAAGATGACCACTCTTCGGGTACTGCTGCACATAGCTGCTCACCGTGACTACGAGCTACACTCTCTTGACTTCAGCACTGCTTTCTTGCAGGGCAGCCTGCACGAGGAGATCTGGCTGCGTCGCCCACCTGGTTTCAGTGGGTCTTTTCCTCCTGGCACCCAGTGGAACCTCCGGCGGCCAGTCTACGGTCTCCGCCAGGCACCGCGTGAGTGGCACGACACACTGAGGACTACACTTGCGGCTCTTGGGTTTGCTCCCTCTACTGCCGACCCGTCGCTGTTTCTGCGCACCGACACTTCTTTGCCGCTGTTCTACATCCTCGTGTACGTCGACGACTTGATCTTTGCCACTGCTGACACTGCTGGACTAGCCCACGTGAAGTCCGAGCTGCAGAAGAGACACACGTGCACTGACCTGGGTGAACTGCGCAGCTACCTTGGCTTGTTGATCACTCGGGACAGAGCACGCCCCACCATTACCCTGACTCAGTCACACATGGTGCGCTTCGGCTTCACGTACTCCTCGCCTCAGGCCACTCCTCTGCCTACTCGCCACTCGCTCTCAGCTCTGCCTTCGGATGAGTCCGTAGAGTCGAGTGGCCCGTACCCAGAGCTTGTTGGCTGCCTCATGTACCTGATGACCTGCACACGACCTGACCTTGCATACCCTCTTAGCATTCTCGCACGCTATGTTGCTCCTGGGAGACACAGACCAGAGCACATGGCTGCAGCAAAGAGGGTGTTGCGCTACTTGTGCAGTACGTCGGGCATGGGGCTTGTGCTTGGAGGGCAGAGTCCAATGGTCCTCACAGGTCACGCAGACGCTTCTTGGGCTGACGACCAGGCTATGCAGCGGTCGTCACAGGGTTACACCTTCAGCCTTGGTTCCGGCTCTGTCTCGTGGCGGGCTACTCGCTCGTCTTCTGTTCTCGGCTCAAGTTGTGAAGCTGAGATCTACGCAGGAGCCATGGCTGCAAAGGAGCTTCGCTGGCTCACCTACTTGCTGACTGACCTCGGAGAGCCGCCTCGTTCTCCTCCAGTGCTGTACGTAGACAACAAGGCCATGCTGGCCTTGTGTCGGGAGCAGCGACTGGAGCACCGAACGAAGCACATTGCTCTCCGCTACTTTCTTGCTCGTGAGCTGCAGCAGCGTGGTCAGCTGCGTCTTGCGTACGTGGCCTCTGAGGCCAACACTGCTGATATCTTCACCAAGGCGCTTGCGCCTTGTGACCATCAGCGCTTCTGTACTCAGCTGGGCCTTGTGCCTACCTTGCCTCACTTGCTCACCTCTTGACCTTGCTTGTACTGTTACATATATATATACCTGCTCTTGCTTGTCTAGCCTTCTTTATATATATGTACTCCTGCATGTGAACTGGCCTTGTGGCCTTGAACTTGTGCTCGGAATGTGTGGTGACTTTGTGATCCACCCTGAGCTTGCTTTGCTTTGCTTTGCTTTGCTTGACTGGTCTTGTGGCCCCTTGTTCTCCCCCACTTTGTCTATGGGGGTGTGTCAGAACATTATAGCTCATTGCCTATGGGGGTGTGCCAAACTTATATGCTAATTGTTGTTTAAGTTGTAATGGGGTAGCCCATATGGGGTGCAGCCCAATTAGTGTTAAAAGATGCGGCGTCTCGACTTATGGGAGTGACTTCGTTGTTGTTGTCGCTGTTTGATTGTGCAGGTGCCGCTTGTTGGTGTTGTTCGTAGAACGACATGAAGGAGAAGAACTTCTCCATCATGCTTGGGTTGAAGCCGATTGCTTCCTTCACAGGAGTTTCAGTTGACTCAGCAGCTAGTCTTTGAGTTGTGCCTCCCTCTCTTTGCAGTCCAGAGGCTGGCGGTGTAGAAGGAGTAGTGCCGGGAGATTCAGTGAACGAGCTTCTTTCTTTCTTTGTTGCCATGCCTTCTGTTGTTGTAGGAAGTTAAACAGAGTTGAGTCTTGTCTTGCAAGCTCTCATACCATGTTGGGCTGAAAAAAGCCCTTTGGATCGTTTTCAAGACTAAGGCTCAGGATAATGATGTATTAGCGGAATCGTTTAATGAAGGCTGATTGAACTACGTTGCAATGGTGTGTGAGAACAAGATCAGTTGATAATAGCAAAGAGACACGAGGCTTTATATGATTACAAGGAATAAGAAAGGTTTAACTATCTGTAACTGCTGTTGCGCTTCGATACAGCGACGACTCGGGTAACGTCTCAATAGCGAGTCAGTTATGTGTCCTTACTATTGCGCTACTTTTTGACGAGTCAAAAGGTCGCTGACCTTTGACCTTCGCTTAACCTCTTGCTGTTGTCTTTTTGTCAACCGCTTTGGTTGACTCGCTGTTACTTCGCTGTACTTCGCTGTAGTTAGCATCGCTTACATTGTAGTGCTCGACACATCAGAAGCACGAACTATATGTTTCCAACAGAACGTAACCTAAGATTATACTTATGTAAGGAAAAAACTTTTTTTTTTTTTTTAACTTCATGCTCCTCCTTACAGCGTACACTCCTAAACCTGCCACAGTACCCCAACAGTAAACCGTTACGACCTCGCGACACTCGCCTCGACCACTAATCCCATCGCGCCCCAACCCTACGGCTTGGCTGGTAACCCGCGCTCCGGCCCTCCGCTGTTAGAGTTATGAATAATTGTATAAGTGAACATTCCTTTGTGGACACAAGTGTCTCAATGCCCTTTTTCCCGAGTCGCGTCGAAACATTTTGTGAACTGCGCGTCACAAAAATTGAATGTATTGCGACACTAGCGACCAGGCAAAATGTATATTTGTTTGCATTTGATTGGTTGTCACAAATGACTGTACACCCGTTTCTTCAACCTCCGGGCAGGGGCAGGGTTTTGATGCGCGGGATTTTTTTCCCTCGCGAAATCGGCATTGTCGGGTGTCTGGGTGCATGTGGTCGTGTCGGGCATTTCGAGTCGCGTGCAATTTTTTAACAATGACGGGTCAATTTGCAATTCGTCAGCGACGTCGGCTCGTTTCACGCTGACCAATGAAAAATACAGTAATGGTCGCTGAAAGGCGACTCGCATTTGGGACAGAATAACGTTATGTTGTTTTTGGGCGTCACAAAGTGACTGAGATACAAGTGTCCACCCAGGAATGTTTCCTAATTGCATACATGCTGATTAGTGTAGTATCACATTCGTCGGTCGCGCCTAGTTCGTCGCCCCATGGCTTGCGGCCCTGTCCCCAATCCGTTGGCCGCAAGCACTCGCGCCAGCTACGGCCGCCATCGCCAGCGCCATCAACGGTTATTGGCGGCCCCGCTAGCGCCATCCCGCTCCCCGCCCTTTTCTCTGCCGCGCCCCACTACGGCGGACGCTTGGGGGGGGTGGGGGGAGGGGGGGAAGGGAGGGCGGGATTGGCAGCCGAGGCTCCTTATCGATGCCCGTGCATCTGCAGTGCGTGGAGCATTAGGGGGGGAGAGAGGGTGCGGGGGTGGTGGGTATGTGAAGGCACCCGCCCCTCTCCATCTTCCTTCCGCTGCACTGCTCCTCCTCCTCCTCCTCCTCCTCCTCCTCCTCCTCCTCCTCCTCCTCCTCCTCCTCCTCCTCCTCCTCCTCCTCCTCCTCCTCCTCCTCCTCGTGGCCGTCGTATCTAGGCGTGGTCGCCCCCGACGCGCACACCGAAACTCGATGCGATGGTTAAACCACAGGTGGGCACCTGTCGTGTATTGTTTTGCCTCAATTGTGCAATCTTGCACGTTCACTCAATTGTTCCCGTACACATGTTGTCTTTTAGGTAATCGATACATACACTGAAAGGCAAGTGTATAGATCAAGAATAGTCTTAACTGCTTAACTATGCTTGGAGGTCAGAAAACCTCCTGCCTCACTGCAAATGCCTTGGCCTGATGGTGCCTCCCCTTTGACGCGACCAGATGGCGGGAAAACTGGCTTTCCACATCCACTTCTTGGCATTACTGTCTTGGATACAGTCCAATAACCTTATCTCATGGGCATTCTCACGTCCACGTATCACTTTCTGTCTGGAGCCACCGTCCTTCTGAAATATCTTTCCCGCGTGCATGTAGCCTCTCACAGATGCCTCAATCCTTCGCATGACTCGCTTTATTTGAAATTTCCGATCTCGAAATGCTACTTCACAACACTCGAACATCAGCTAATTGATGGTGATAGTAGCCACTGATGCTTTCGGAAATGCTGAGTTGAATGCTGTGCACTTGTAGAGAAGATCCACCAACGAGGAAATTATGTGCGCAGGGTTGATCATATGGAAGGGTGTCTTGAGTGCCGCGATGACTGTTTGGATTTTTGGGCAGTCAAAGAGGCAGTGCTCCTGAATCTCTTCTGAGTTACAGTGTGGGCACTTCGTATTTGTTTGAGAAAGGCTAGTCTTTCTCCCACTTGAAGATTTAAATTATGAACTCCGTTCAGATTGTCACATGGGGGGCTTAGAATGGTGAGTGAGTCGCGAACCTTGATTGCCTGTTTCCATTTCCTTTTCCCACCCCAATGGCTTGCCTCTTCTCCGTTTTCCGTGCCGAGTTACCTTGCTTCCGCTAGGCTACCTGCAGCTGCTTTTGCAGAGCGATTTGGCAGAGTTGGAAAATCGGTGTGCGCAGTAGCTTTACACCAGGTTCCGCCGCTGCCCTTCTCTCTCCTGGTTCCCATCCACTGGAGCTAGCAGCAGCCCTCTCCAGCTTTCTGGCGATGCAGGAAGTGCTTTCGGAGCCAGCTGAGTAGGTCCCTTACCACCCAGTGATCTTGCAAGGGTGTCTGTGCTCTTTAGAATCCTACTCTCGTCTGCTCCTGTCACGATGAGGTCCCCCAGCCGCGTATCCCAAAGGTGATTGGAATGCGATGATTGGCGTGATATAACTATTGGTGAATACTGCTCTGGCTGTAATCGTGAGGTATTTCAGCTGCCATTTACTCAGCTCCCCTAGTGTCCGTCCCAGTGTCTTCTCCTAGATCACCTTACAGTTATCAAAGGGCGTCACTCACACTCGGAGCAATCTCTCTGCTTCATCCGCGCCGTCCTACTTGAAATCGTCTGACCTCCATGACTTTCGCTTGAGGTTTATTTTCAACCGCATCACGACTGACCTTTCCTTCTTTGTGGCTAGGCCCAATATGCGCTCGAAGTAGTCAAACAGCTTCTCCACTTTGGCATTTTATTCCTTCCCTTGCAGCAACAATGTGGTGAGGTCTACGTACCCCAAGTATGGCAGCCTCTGACCCATATCGTGGTTGATGCCCCGATTTCCGCTTCTCCGCTACCTGCGCCAACGGTTCCATCGCATGTAAGAAAAGGTAACGGGCGAGGGGACAGCCGTATCGGACTTCCGAGACCACATTAACTACGTTGCCTTTCTAGATGTTGATTAAAACCGTCTACACGAGTCCTCATGCATGCTCTTCACCCAACTCACGAACGTGGAAGGAAGCCCATTTTTTCAAGCGTTTCGAATACGAAGCCGCGTGAGACGATGCCGAAAGCCTTTCTAATGTCCACCAACAACTATTAACAGTCCTCACCCCCCCTCTTCGTGGCTTCGATGGCATCAGCTACCAGGCCGACGGCGTCAGACAGTCTCCGTCCTGGAATAAAACCTTACTGTTCACATGATATGACATGGTGCATGATTTGGTAATTAAAGTTCAAAAGTGTGATGGGCCGTTAGTTGTTGAGCTGTTTCATATCCCCCTTCTTGCGTAACTGTATCGTTATTACCTCCTTGGTGCTTGCAGGTAAGAACGCTGACGCTTAAAAGGTGAGGGCAAGATCCATAAAGCCTTCTCCAAGGGGACTTCCCATAAGGGGACATACTAGTGCAGCTCAAATATCTCTCTTTGAGAGCCCGTCCAGACCCCGCGACTTCTTACATGCCAGCTTCTTGAAAGTGTGCCCGACCTCCTGCTCCTTCCACTCCTGGACCAGACCATCCGCCTCTTTAGGCGACAACCGCTTCTCCGGTTCCTAGTTCCATTGATGGGTCCGTCGGTCAGCTTCAAAGTAGTCGCTAAAAAATTTCGTTGCCGCTTGCAAGATGCCTTGAGCATCGTTGATAGCCGCGCCATTGGCACTGAGTTTAGTGATTTGAGTGTGCTGCTTCTGTGCCTCAAGTTTGGCTGACATGTGCTTTGAGGTGATCTCCCTAATGAGCTCTGTTGCATAGCCCACCATCAAGTGCAACATTTGTCTGCGAGATGATTGGTACCCCTTCAGCTGGAGCTCCCACGTCACCAGAAGTTTTCCGTAACCGCAGACGGTTTGGTACGCTCATCACCTCCTGCCTCAGCTTTGCCACTACTTCTGATAGATGTCTCATCGTCGCTTTCATCCTCTTATTTTCCCCCTTCGCGTATGCCCTGAACCAGTGTTTAGAGGCGCCACACGGGAGGTGGTGTTGTCAACAAGAATGTTGAGGGGTATGGAGCTACAGGCGGTAGCAAAGGAAGAGGGGTGGGAGAGGTCGGGGCCGTGGGAAGGGCTTTGGCAGAGGAAGAGGCCGAGGTGACTAAAATGAGGGGCATGGGATCTCTGGTAGCAGGGGGAGCACACAAATGGAGGGCGCTTGCTGGTACTACAAGAAGGCTAGACACCCCCAGGCATGAAGCCACCAAGTGGTGAACGTGCACAAGGTGGCGTTGTACAAGGTTCAGGTGAACAAGGTGACGGGGCACAAGGTGAAGCCTCCCCATGGATGCTCCTCATGGTTGAGGATGTGAAAGGGAGTAGGGGTGATGTGGGTTTGGTTGAGAAGGTTGTGATGCACCCCCTCACTCACTGGGTGATATCTTCACCAAGGCGTTGCCGCCTTGTGACCACCAGCGTTTCTGCACCCAGCTAGGCCTTGTGCCTTCGAGTCCTCACTTGCTTACGTAGAGATGTTTGTCTTGCTTGTCTTGTACTCTTGCATCTTTTTTGCTTGCATATCGACTAGCCTTGTGGCCTCTTGCTTGTTTTTGGACTGTGTGGTGATCTTGAGATCCACCCTGAGATTTGTTTTGTTCTTGTGGACTGGTCTTCTGACCGTTGCTTGTTCTTGCTGGCTAGTCCCAGGACCCTTGCTTGCTCCCAGACTTTGTGGTGACTTTGTGATCCACCCTAAGATGTATATTGCTTTCCACAGGACTGCTGTCACCTAGACTATGGGGGTGTGTCGAACCATAATTGTTTTAGTTTGTATAATTGTTTAGTCTAGGCGGTGTACAAGTTTGTTAGTGATAGGGCTAGGTTTGCTATATCTATCATTGTACTTGCTCAATATAGTCATTTCATTCTAGTCATTCCAGCAAGTAGGTCAGCCAGCGTAACTCGTGTGCAGCCATAGCCCCAGCGTAAATCTCGGCCTCATAGCTGGAGCTAAGCACAAAAGACGAGCGAGGGGACCTCCATAGACAGAACCAGTGCTGAGATTAAAAGTGTAACCCTATGACGGCCGCTGAGTCGCCTGGTCCTGAGCCCAAGAAGTGTCTGAGTGCCTTGTGAGCACATCTGGGCCCTATGTGGCAAGTAAAAGCCCCATGCCTAATGTGCTGCACTGGTAACGCAGTATCCTCATAGCAGCCCAGTATTGCTCAAGGCGTTGTCCCCGGGGCACAACGTAGCGCGCCTTGATGTTCAAAGGGTACGCAAGGTCAGGTCCAGTGCACGACATCAAATACATAAGGTAGCTCACAAGCTCTGGGTACGGACCACTCGGCTCTAAGGAGTCATCCGAAGGTGAAGCTGAGAGTGAGTGGCTCATAGGTAGAGGGGTGGACTGTGGCGAGGATAACTAAAAGCGGAAGCGCTGAAGGACCTGCTGCACCATGTGTGACTAAGTCAGAATGATGGTGCGCGCTGCTCTGTCCCGGATGATCTGCAAGCCAAGATACCTCCGCAGCTCACCCGGGTCAGTGCAGGTGTGTCTCTCGTGCAGCTTTGCCTTCACAAGAACCAGTGCCTCAGTATCAGTAGTAGCAAAGACCAAGTCGTTGACATATACGTGGATGTAGAACGACGGCAGAGACGGGTTGGTGCGCAAAAACATCAACGGGCCAGCAGTCGAAGGAGCAAAACCAAGAGCAGCAAGTGTCGTCCTCAAAGTGTCGTGCCACTCGCGGGGCGCTTGGCGCAGACCATAGACTGGCCGTCGGAGACTCCACTGGGTACCCTCAAGAAACGACTCAGTGAAGCCACGAGGGCGGCGCAGCCATATCTCCTCGTGGAGGCTGCCCTGCAAGAAAGTTGTGGAGAAGTCGGGCGAGTGCAGCTCGTAGTTACGCTGTGCTGCAACATGCAACAACACCCGAAGAGTGGTCATCTTCAGGGTGGGGGAGAGGGTCTGGAAGAAGTCGACCCCCTGTCGCTGACTGAAGCCTCGTGCAATGTAATGTGCCTTGAAGTCAGGCAGAGAACCCGGCGGCCGCTTCACTTTGAAAATCCACATGTCATCGACTATGTTCGCCCTAGGAGGGGGAACGGTGTCGAATTAGGTGCCAGTGGAATCCCAGGATGCCATCTCTGCATCCATGGCTGTCTGCCACTGAGAGGAGTACTGACCCGTGATTGCCTACGAGCGAGGAGTCGGGATGTTAAGTGCATCCGGGTCTTACTCAAGGGCAAGCAGCATGGCAGCGAGATGAGGTACGGCAGTCGCGAGAAACTCCAGCTCAAACTGCCTATCCTCAAGGACATCACAGCAAAGGGCACACTCACCTCCGATGGACGGAGGACAGTCAAAATCAGAAACAAGACTCGCAAAGGAGTCAAGGCGGCAGGCAGCAGCAAAGCCAACTAGCTCAGTGACTACGGCACATGCAGCAGCAGACTCAAACATAGGGTCAGTAATAAGGGTTTGCCAGACAACGGCTGCGAGTAGGACTAGCAGCACAAGCAATATCAGACTCAGGGTCAGGAACGTTAGGAAGAGAGGACGCTGGAGGAGATGGCAGGACAGGACGCTGTG